ACTGACCCTGCATTCTATGTTCTCAAGGCCTTAAATATATGAGAATTTACTATGTTTGCTTTGTTACTGGTTTATTTATGCTGGTAGCATAATACTCTTGACATGCAACCTTGCAGGTGAATATTGCAGATTTAACTTTTGTTTGCTTCGTTTTCTTTTCTTTGTACTGGGGATTTAACTCAGGACCTTGTACTTGCCAGGTAGGTGCTTAAGCAGCTGAACTATCTCCCTAGCCCAATATTGCAGAATATTTTAAACACTAGGCAATATGTCCCATGAATTAATCACTATTCATACTTTCATTTATGAATGGGTAATTAGGTTTTCCATAGTTTGGTCATGTGGTATTGTGTTGTTATGCATGACTGTATGAACACTGAAATACTCATAAATGGAATTTCTAAATTGTGAAATAAACACATAACTACAACGCTACATAAATTCATAAACCAAATCATTATACTCACTGACAATTAGTGGATAACCTCCAGGTATTTCACTAAATTCTCAAAGGCTTCAAGGATAACCAGAAAATTGCTTGGCAATCTCCTCAGGGACAGGTTCAAAAGCTTTTCTAAAAGGGACAAATTGCCTTCCAGTCCTCAAGCTCCATGGTAAGAAGCACAAGCATGGAAGAATCGAGAGGGAGCTTTCATTTCAGGTAACAACGACAGATGGTATCGTACGGTGCCACGTGAGAGACTGGTAACTCAGAACCCGGAGAAACGCTCTTACTTTCACTTTGGCTTTGCCACGTCGTGAGAGAAAATTTGTGATCTTGTTTCTGTGCTTCTTAGGAATACATCATGCCAGCGCAGTGCCAAGGCTGCGCTCTATCAAGTTTTGATTTTTGAACATTTTTCACCAAGACTGAGATAAACACTGATAAATATTTTAGAAACACATACAGTGAATTTTCTTGAAAAATCTTAATCATTCAGATAGACAAGATAGATAGACAGATAATAAAGACAGATATAAATAGAGACATAGACATAATTTCAAAGGAAAACTAGGCCAATGTAAAGAAGACATACAGCATAAATAACAGAACGTGATTTTGTTTAGTCATGTATTTTAAAACTTAATCAATTCGATCAGGTACCGTGACTTTCCAGTCCTCAGTTATTTGGGTTCTGCATTCTTTTGCATCTTTCTGCAGAGTATTTTAACACTTAATAATATGTAACTAAAGGTACAAAATGCGATGCATTCCTGTTCCACCTCACAATTAGGTGTCCAAAGTATTAATTTCAAGGAGAATTTTAAGTATTAAATTTCATGGAAATAGTAAATGTTCTTAATTTTGTAGTGAATTTATTATATTTTTCCTAGAATACAGATTTTTAAAATAAAATTGAAATGTCCAGGAAAGATAGTAAACTACAGAAGAGCAATTTAGTTCCTTCAAATGAATTCCAATGCTACTGAGAAAAAAAAACCCAACATTTTCTTACATATATGAAAATCAAGGGGCCTGGGAGATGGCAGAACCGGGGATTGAACTCAGGCCCTTGCGCTTGCCAGAGAAGTGTTTATTCCACTGAGCCATCTCCCCGGCCCCCAAAAATCCTTTGTAAAGGATGAAGAAAAGAGGTTCAAAATTATATGATACTGCAATTTGTACAAAGTTTACAAATTTATCATTAGAATAACTTCTTTGATTATGGCTGTACATGTCACATTATAGCAGGTAGCTAATTAATGTAATTAGATGATTGTAACATAAAAGGCAATTACAGAATTTAAAATGCATTATAAGTGTCTATTTATTGTGCCTCTTCTCTTTTAAACACTTAAGTCTTCATAATGTTGTCTGCATAAGTATCAACCTTCCAAATTTTTGTCCAACTATCAGATTTTCTCAACTTTAGAAAGAGCTTATTAATGTGGATATTAAATTGAGCTGGAATACAGTGGGATACTTAATACCTTAATGTCTTCTAACTACTGGATGTCAGTGGCAGCACATTATTCAGTTTGGTTTTTGTGCATTGTTTTCTTTTCTTTTCTTTTTGTCTTTTTTGACACAGGGTCTCATTATGCAGTTCAAGCTGGCCTTGAGCTCACTTAAGCCCACACTGGTCTCGAACTCACCACAAACCTCTTGCCTCAGCCTCCTAAGTACTGGGATTACAGACATGCACCATGACACCTAGCATTAGTTTTGAAAACCTAAATATCTATGGAAATGAATAGCCTTTTGAGGAAAATCACTATAAATGTAGTTAAAAAGCTGGGCTTCTTTTCAAATATATTAACTTGAAAAATTCCCACAAATTATTTTTGCAATAATTCTACTTAATAAAATTCATCTAAACATAGTACATTTATTCTTTAGCAAAACTTCTTCTTTTGATAATTAAAAATCTTGCTATTTTTTCATGAGACTTGTGAAAAATAACTGTTTATTTTCAGTGCTGACATACACTTGAAATGCCAATGGTCTTACATTTTATTGTAGCTTTGCCCTAAGTGAACCTGGGGCCCATAACAGTGACAATGAAATATGCTATGATAAAAATAAAATCTGATACTCAAAGGCTGCTATTAGGTCTCATTTGACCAGCTAGTTCTAAATTCCCAGTCTGAATTTTTGGCTTCACTTTTTTTTTCTATTCTTTTAGCACAAAAATCTACCTGCTGTTTTCATAGATACGTTTATGGTGTCATGTGCCATAAAATGATTTATTTAACACTTTGGTTCTTTGGAAAAATAGGCTATATTTCTTAAAGTCTTTTGTTAAATAACTATATTATATTGTTAAATGTGGTCTATAAATTCTCTATGCAAATTGCTTCGAAATACTTTAAATGTATTACTTGCCCATAATTACTTATGAAAATACATTTTGTTACACTGTAAAAAACATAAAATTCATCTAGAAAATATTAATGGAAATCTCTTGACCTTGCTGATGTCTCTATACCAAATAGGTTTTCTGATCACCTGAGGGAGTCGCAGAACCTCACAGTGGTGACCAAATTCATTCTGCTCGGCATCACAGATCGTCCTGAGCTGCAGGCTCCACTGTTCATACTGTTTCTTGTGATCTACCTGACCTCACTGGTGGGCAACCTGGGCATGATCGTCCTCACCCAGCTGGACCCCCGGCTGCAGACCCCCATGTACTTTTTCCTGAGACACCTGGCTGTCACTGATCTTGGCTATTCCACAGCTGTGGGACCCAAAATGCTGGTAAATTTTGTTGAAGATGAAAATATAATTTCACATTATTGTTGTGCTACACAGCTGGCTTTCTTTCTTTTGTTTATTGCTTGTGAGCTTTTCATCCTGTCTGCCATGTCCTATGACCGCTATGTGGCCATCTGCAGCCCTCTGCTGTATACTGTCATCATGTCCCCAAGACTTTGTTGGGTACTGGTGATGATACCCTATCTCTACTGCACGTTCGTGTCTCTTCTGGTGACCAAGAAAATTTTCACTTTGTCCTTCTGTGGGAAGAATATCATTAGACATTTCTACTGTGACAGTCTCCCCTTATTATCTTTAGTTTGCTCAGACACACATGAAGTTGAAGTGATGATGTTAATCTTATCAGCTTTTAACTTGATTTCCTCTCTTCTGGTGGTCCTCATGTCCTACCTGCTCATCCTCACATCCATTCTCAGGATGAAGTCTGCAGAGGGCAGGCATAAGGCTTTCTCCACTTGTGGGTCCCACCTGACCGTGGTCACCGTGTTCTACGGGACTTTGATATTTATGTATGTGCAGCCTAGGACGGGTCACTCCTTTGACACTGACAAAGTGGCCTCCATATTTTATACCCTGGTCATCCCTATGCTGAATCCCTTAATCTACAGCTTGAGAAACAAAGACGTAAAACATGCTCTTCAAAAAGCACGGGAAAAACTATGCAGTATCTTTCCCTAAAATACTCTAAAATTTTTGTGTGTGAAGCTGAAATGTGAGCTTGCTATATTTTCCTCTAGAACCCCTAGCAAGCACAAAAATCTCACAATCTGTTAAATATTGAACCCAGTCATACTTGCTGCATTTTCAAATGCCATACAACATAATTTAAACATCTTAAAATATGCTTATTAAAGACATAACCAATTTAAATGTTATAGCCATTGAGCATAGGTTTAGAGAAATGTTTTCAGAGTTGTGACCTCCCCTTAGAAGTCAGGAAGACTGATAAATACAAAGAGTCCAATGGTTCCTGTGACATTTGTAATGATTAGCGAAACTTTCTAGTGTATATATGAGGCAATGTGTTACTTTGTACGCAAACCCAATACTTTGACCTGAACTCCCATGGACACCTATGGATTAAACAAAACTGAAGCATGATTTCAGAGTCATCAGGCTTATTGCTCTGTCACAATTTGAATGAGCCAAATGCCCTGTTCCATGCGGCGGCCTTCGGGTCTCTCTTTTTCCTATTTTTGTTTTTGGGCATATTTTTCTTATCTCTTGTTTCATTTATTACCTCTTTTTAAAGCAAACATTTACTTGAGAAACAGTATGGCAGTAATTAGAACAGCATGACAGGCATTCCTAGCATGATCCTACCATTACACATCGCTCTCTTCAGTGCAGCTGCTTAGTTCACAAGTATCCACGTATATAGTCAGGATGAGAATCCTACCAATTCATTACTAGTTTCAAAAACATGTAGCATAAAAGTGATACAAATACAATAAAAGAAGAGATCATGATTAGGGAAAATGAATACAATATTTTATACAATGAATTAATAAGTAATTGCTTTACAGTCTATAGAAAGATAAAGCAAATGTCTGTATTCACCATAAGGAAATTTCTCATAATTTTCTCATATAATTTACTAAGAAATTGAGAATGTAGAAGTAAGTTCATATGAAGCACTTTGGAAACTTCAGAAATTTTAAGACATTTACTGTACAGGGAGGGTCAGAGAGAGATCTCACTGGCACACAACCTGCCTGTCAAGCACAAGGTCCTGTGTTCAGTTCCAAGTACCCAAACAGAAAAGTTTGAATGCATAATGTTGTCTACTAATGGTGAGTAGACAGAGCAAAGAAAGCACTCCTAGCCGAGCGTGGTGGTGCACACCCATGATCCCAGCCTCAGGGGGCTGATGCAGGAGGAGCAGTGTGAGTCTGAGAAGAGCCTCACTTGCAAAGTGACCTCAAGCTATTCAGGACTGCATAGTGCGACCCTTTCTCAAAACAACAACAACAACAACAAAAAAACCTAGCAAAATAATTGACTATAAGAATTATAGACTTTGGGAAAACATCACAGATATCTAATAAACTTTCAAATGCCACAAAATTAAGGAACGGTGTGTATCACAATGAGAAAACATTGATAAGCCCCCAAACATATACTTACATGAAAAGTAAATTTGCAGTGTTAGATATTTAATCTTTAAAACTTAATTTGAAGTATGCATAACTTTATATCATGTATTTTTAAAGGCAAGAATATGTATTTAAAAGGGCTGGCCAGATATCTTAGTGGATTAAAGCACCTGCTTAGGCAGACGCAGGGCCTGGGTTCGATCCCCTGCGTGCCATGTTGACTCCGCCCCCAGGACACGTTGAGATGGCGATTGAGACTCAGCATGGCGATGGGCACCTGTAATCCCAGTGCTTCAGAGGCAGAAAACAGGAGGATCACTATAGGTCTGATCTGTGTAGTGAGAGCCTGTAGACCCTGTCATAAATACATAACAAAATAAATAAACATAAAAAGGAATATGTATTTAATAAACACAGCTCCTTAGGAATGAAAAATTGTAATCAGGCTTAGGTTGTCAAAGAGAGTTTGTTATGATGAAAATATAATATAAAAAAAAAGAAAAGGGAACAAAATTTCACTTCTGTATAGTGAAAATTCAATGGCAAAAATAAGTCACTGACTACTGTGAAATCAGTTTTACTTCTACATAAGATTCGTTATAAAATAAATGTGGTTTCATTTACACAAGCGTGTGCATGCGTGTGTGTGCGTGTGTGTGTGTGTGTGTGCGTGTGAGCAGGGTCTCACCATGCAGCTTCCACTCATAGTGATGCTCCTGTTTCTGCCTCCCCAGCGCTGGGATTGCAGGTGTGCATCACCACGCCTGGACTCCATGTCAGCTCGGCACCCAAGAGCGGGGCCAGCGTGGCATGTGGTACTAGAGATTGAACCTTGGCCCCTGCGCTTCCCTAAACAAGCACTTGCTCAGTCCACTGAGCTACCTCGCTGGCCCTTGCACAATCATGTATGTTAAGGGTAACATCTGTTGGAGCAATCATAGCTAGATGGTATCTTTATAAAGTTAATTAAAGAGTAAATTCAGGGCTGGCCTGATAGCTCAGTGGACTCAAGCACCTGCTTAGGCAGAGAGCAGAGGCTGGCGTTCGATCCCTGGCATGCCATGCCAGGCCCCCCCTATGCAGTGAGACCGTATAGAGCCTGTCCCAAATACAGAAATTAAGGAAGAGTAAATACATATGACAACGTTTTGCAACCTCAGAAATTTGAATAGTTTAAATGTATAGTGTTGCAAAATAATGATTAGTAGAGTTAACTCTAGAGTTAATTGAATTATCCTAAAATTGAATGCATTGCAGTTACTTTCTAATGGGAAATGCCTTCATAGCAAAAGCCACCAGAGAAAGATAAGTCAATTCTCTTTTCTTATGTATGCAGCTCAGACTCACAGTGATTCTCCTGCTTTTAGCCTCCCCAGCGCTGGGATTACAGACATGTGCCACTATGTACGAACTCTGTGGCCAGTTTGGCCTAAGCAGGGGATTGAACGGCGATCCTTGCTCCTCTCTAAACTTGCCTAAGCAGGCGCTTTAGTCCACTCAGCTATCTCACCAGCCCCCAATAATTCAACATTTTTAACTGAAGATGATATACAAAATTTATCAAAGCAAATTCATGCAAAATTTACAGGCGAGATGCAAAAAAATCATTTTCACTTAAATAATTAAATACTTGTATTTCAAATTATCAAAGTTAATTCCAAATTAATTTAGGGTAATTTGTCAAAGTAAAACCCCATGATATACTAGTAGCTACTTCACACTGAAAAATTCAGCAGGAATGATTACGTACACACATTTTTTTTCAGTCAACACTTCTGTAGAGATTCAAGATGTTAGCAGCAATTGTAGGCTCTAAGGACTTTTTTTTTCTCCTCTTTCCACTCCATCCCAGGCATAATTTCAATCATTGTCCATGCCCTAAAATTTATATCCTTTGAGTATTTCATAAAATAAAATCATATTTTATGTCTTTATCCTCTATTGTATCAATTAGCATAGCAGTCTTAATTTTCACATTTGTACCACATATTGAAAGGGAAAATAAAAACTGTAACAGCAAACCTGGCCCTTTAAAAAAATACTCTGTTGTTTTGAAACTGCCTAGCTCTCCTGCTCCTTAATAGCTTGCGATTACTTTCTTGACCCTTGTAATCACAAGAGCATAACAGAACATGCAGACGCCTGATTGTGCCAAGCCGCATGAGCATTAATCTAGCCTTGTGACTGATGGTCACTAATCTAGCCCTGTAACTGGTGATCTAGCCCTGGTAGATAATCCGAAGAGTGGCCAGCCAGTCCTATCCCACCTCTGTGCCTCCTTCCCACATCCTGTTTGTGCACCATATGAAAGAGCTAACCCACAACCAAGCGGGGCTTGGCTTTGTTGGGAGTTATTCCAGCCACTGGTGTAAAGTTGTTCTATATTTTTAACATTTTTTAAAAAATGTATTTGACTGTTGCAACATCTCACTACGCATCTCGGACTCATAGTGATCCTCGTGCTTTCTGCCTCCCCAGCTCTGGGATTACAGACTAGTGCTACCATACACGGACTCTGTGGCCGGCTCAGCCCCCCACTGGGATGGGGCTGGCGCGCATGTGGTGCCAGAAATCCAGCCGCAGTCCTTGCTTACACCTAAGCTTGCCAAAGCAGGCGGTTCAGTCTGCGGAGCTATCTCGCTGGCCCCTATTCTTAACAACTGTTTGAACACAATAAAGAATAATTTTAACTATAGTGACCTAGTGATACGCCGGATCCCAATAAGTTACTCACAATGTCAACTGCAACTTTCTAACGTGAATGCTCCCTCTCTGCTCCCTTTTCCGTTGCTCTTGCAGTCCCCACCATTCTTCTTTATAATTACTATGGGTTTAACTATTTTCCTTAACTCATGAAAGCAGGCTACATTCATAAATTGAAACGCTCTCATTTATTTGAGCAAAATTTCCACACACTTCACCCATATCATCACATATTTCAGGATGTCCTTCCCTTTTAAGGCTGACCACTGTCACTTGCCCGGGAAATGCCGTGTTTTCCGTATCCGTTCATCCATAATATCCCTGTATTCAGTGACAGCACCTTCGTTAAAGTGAACAGCTCTGCAATAAACCTGCAAACCCGTGATTTACCTTTGAGGATTTGAGTTTAATTGTTTCAGATAAACACTTCAAAGTGAAACTGCAAGACCACATTGTAGACATTTTAATTTTTTTGTTTCTGTGTAATATCCAATCGAATGATATTACCTTCCTCTAAAGGCCAAAGTATTCTAGAAGACGAAAGGTAAATTTGCACATCATTCTTGAGATGCAAGAGGCACAAATGCTGAAATAAATCACTGGGAAGGGTGTATTAATATCTGAGGATAATTTTAAGGTAGACACTTCGTTCGTTTCTTTACTCATTCAGCCATTTGTTCCTCCAGTCCATCTGGATCAATCTCTTTGGATAGCTATGCTTTCAAGAGACTTATTGTGAAGGCTGTTAGGTCATCACACTCTTCAGACCCACTTCAACATTTATATTGCTTTTAGAATATATAACATACTACAAAGTAAAAAGATAAAACTTTAAATAGGTAATCTCACTGCTTATGTGTGAACTGAGGAAATTCTATG